CTTCTTAAACATCAAGCAGTTAGAATGAAAGATTCTTTGCCATTTTTCCCCTTTTATACATCAGCCGCTCTCCCAGATACTCTTGGTCACAAAATCACACCTCTCCCCTTGCTCTCCTCCTCTCTACTCTGCCCTTACTTTTCTAGCCAGTTGTTATCCCTACAAGCCAGTCCCTGCTTCTTAGTTTCATGTCCTACAAGCTCACAAAGCATTTGGCCCACTCAGTTCTCTCTCCCCTACTTATTTATTTCACCTATTCATTTCTTGACCAAGTCTCACTCTGTAAACCAAGTACCATTTGCTTTCTACACTCTAGCTGAGCACTCCACTCCCGGCACTTCTTACTTCTCCCTCTCGCACCACCCACTTCCTTGATTGCCCATATTGAACTCAGCTTCACAGAACCTGAAGGTCCCTGCAGTACATCTGTGAGAAATCTGCAGCTCATTATCACCTGGGAAAAACTTGATGGCAGTTGTCTTAGCCAGGAGACTTCCCCTCATAATTCTACTTTTACTCCACTTAATGATAGCTGAAAGCATGAAACTTCAAAATTGTCACGGAACTCATGATATTTTCCTGTTTGATATTTTCCAATTATGCACATCTCTTCTCATTAAGCTTTATCATTAGTTGATGAAATAGACAAGTCACCTCTCTTTTTTTCTACTCCCAATCTATGTCTGTCTCATCTAATCAGCACTTCATGCTAGCAACTGCCTTTTTTTATGTGCTTAATACAGTGCATAGCACTGTGAGGCCTAAATTTCTACTGCATCCCTGTATCCAAATAACAATTATTAGGCCCTTTTTTCAGGCACCATACATTTCACCTACAGATTCACCCACTGTAATAACTTCCAGTTACTCTATAGGTTTGGTTAAGGTTGCTGCAGACAAATTATTCAATCCTTCCATCATCACTGAAGCCTTTATATTTACAAAATGATGACACCTGCCTTAGGAAATACCGCTTTCAGGAGACTACTTTGACAATTAAAATATAGTGGTTATAAAAAGCTAATCAACTGTTTTCCAGCAGAGATCTCTAGGCAAGACTGAAGCCTTGACTTTGGAATCATGCTCCGCTCCTAAATTTCAAGGCCAGCTAGACATCCTCAGAACAAACTCAATCCTTTCTGCATTCCTTGAGTACAGCCCTTCTCGTATTAGTCAATACTGCTCTTACAGAAAGAAAAAAAATAAAATATGAAAAGCAGATGATTTCTGCTGTGGAAATTTTTGTTTCTTTTTCCTTCAAAACCCCTATCTTTCAGTGTTTACATATGTCTGAAAGAAAATAGTCATCTGAAATATGAAAGTGCTCCTAGTAGAAAGGTGACCACACAAGGCTAAATGCAATGGGACTAAAAGCTTTTCTCCTTTAGTGTTTGCTGTGTGGGAAAAGAACTGAGGATTTGTTGAAAGCAGTCTGACAAAGAGGAACAGACATTGAAAGAGGTAACAGCTGATAATCCCTCCCACCTCAAAGACCAAAAAGAAAACTGAGATGTTAGAAGAGAATTCTTCACGTTTCAAATAGCAAACATTGCTAAATACACTTCACATCATGTATTAGCTACCGTTTAGATGGTGGTCAGAAAAGTCAAAATCTCTCCTTTGTTCAGTTTCATTATTATTAATCTTCTTCTGTATCATTCCCTTTGTTTAATAGGCTGGGGTTAGGCCTCAATTTACCAAACTGCACATTTTTAACCCTATAATGTATTTACTTTCTGCCTTCCCAGCACATTGCAAAGAATATATTATATATTACAGGCTGCAGTATGACTTGCATACTTAGTCAATAAATAAAATATGGAATATTAATTAAAAACTTACACTCGTCAAACTGAATGCACAACATATGCTTTTACCATATACAGCTGTACTTTCTAAAAAGTGTTACTTTTTCTCCTTTTTGTTGTGCCACAGGATATGACTAGCCTTTTCAGAGTTTCACAACGGATGAAAAACAAGAATCTCCCTTTCCAGGATGACCCACAAAAAGACTGCCAGAATTTCAGTTTTTATGCTCACCTTTGTATGGGAACTCTTACTTTTCTTAGGGAGATTCCTTGACAGTGGAAATGACAGCAGTTCTACGCTCTGCAACAGATCCAGAGTAGGAGAAACTACTACGGCTCCATTCTAAAGTATTCCCTATCAAGGACAGCACAACGGCCCTGCCACCCTCCTCAGCTCAGGGGTTAAACAAAATAGGTTGGTCTATTAGCCCAAATTAACCACAATTTTGATGCTAAAGTTCCTACGATGACGAAAATCTGAACCCAGTTATTTGGTTATAGCTGGCCTCAGGAGTCTGTTCATTTATCAATTACTTGGTCATAGAGCCTGCAAACTGGCAACGTCAAAGCTTTTGCTGACTGTTAATTCTTTTAGGTGATATATATTGCACACATAAGAAAGCTACATTAAAATGCCAGCATTATATACAGCACAACATTTTCCACTCTCCCTGAAATGATTTATCATAGTCATGTTCACACTCATTCAGCCTCCTGTGCCATAATTTATTGGGAAACTGTTCTATAATTGCTGGCCTGACTTTGACAAGAGTTATATGATGGAAAGATTTCAGTCATTAACCATCTAGAAATATCAAGTGTTATCCTCACATACAACAATGAAAGCTACATTGACACTTTATCGAGTCACATCACTTTCCATATCCATATATATTACTCCTTCAGGAGTATTCCTTCAGGAAGGGTGCTTTTCTTCTCGCTGCTATGAAGAATCCAAGGAGGCAGCGAGACAGAATTTTCAAACCTTTTCAAAGTAAAACTCAACAGTCTCCAGAACAAAATACCTACCCCTTAGCTATCATTGCACATTGCCTGTAAAGAACAAAACATATACAAATAATGCCACAAGCAAGGTAAGAAATCAGAAATACATTGTTCTAGTAGACAGTACAATGAAGCTGGTTGATTTACTGTGTCTACATGCACAAAGAAAGCATTTGTGTATTTTCCTGCATATAGTACCATTGCACCATATGCTGTGTTGCACGCTGCAGCTCAGTTTCTTTGTAGAAGAAATTGCCCATCCTTTCATTCTGCTGGATATTTCTCTACCTTTTAACACTCAAAGCACTAAGGCAAAAAAATTAGTGTCTGGCAGTAGCCTTTCCAGTCCACATTTGCATACCTAAATATACTTGTTAAGCATCATCAGACATCATTGGATCCAAGAGAGCTCTGGATGCATCACACCATTGACCTCTTCAGCATTATTTTAAAATCATGGTTCATGTTTCAGTGACCAAATATGAACTTAAAGTTAAGCATCCATTTCATGATGATGACAAGTATATCTTCCTCTACCCTGTTGCTATGGTAACAGTGATGGCAGCCATTAGATTTATGGTAAAATGTATTCCCAAGAGGTAATTTTTTTCATTCTCCCTTGTATGATCATACCAAACTACCTGATTACAAAGAGATCTCAGAGGATCTGCTCTTTGCTGAGCTCAGCAGCTCCTACAAGTCTTGCATTCACCTTCTCTGGGTTTAAATGAGGGAGATAAAATATTCTGATACTTCAAACGAAAGATGTCAGAATTCTTGCTCCAGATGGAACTAACAAAAAATTAAGAGGAGATGATATGCTAACCAGGACTTAACTAAGTACAGGTATCCCAAATACTGTACATCATGAATGGGAAAAATATTTATCACCTGTGAGAACATCATTTTTTGCTTCACTGAAAAGCATGAAATTATTACAAAAATTCCAGTCATATCTGCTGCCTGTTATTGAACACACATAAAAATTCTTCTCCTGGTTTAACATCTTAAGCATACTTTATAGTGAGACTATTTACATTCAAAGCTGTTATTGTCATAGTTTTCAAAATTTTCAGTTTTCAAAATTTTTATAAGCCAGGTAAGGGAAAAAAAGAGTGTCACAGCTGGCATACAAGTAGCTGGGAAGATGTTAAGCTACAGCCATTCAAGTAAATGCATACCAGAACAAACAATTATTTAAGTTCTTTTCCTGCCTCTTTTCCTTGGCAAGCTGAAAAGAAGTCAGTATTGCATTAATGAATATATTTTCACAGTATTTTAAATTACAAAGTTGTTACATTCTTACATTTTGTACATTTCTTTTTTAAACATGATGATTGTAAACTAACTCAGAAGACAATTTAGTGTTCGAGGTTTCCATGGATCAAAGTTTTACAGTACATTTCTGTTCTAATCAAATTTTCAGTATCAACCTTTGCATTTGTAAATACAGGCATAACAACTTATCTGAAATCTAGTGGGTAGCTCTGATACTTTCTGAAGCACTCCCACTGATGCTGGGGCCAGACTGTGCACCCTGTCCTCAAAAAACCACA